CTTAGCAACATTTAAAATATGGAATCAAAATTCCCAGTGCGTTCACAAGTACAAGCCTAATGAGAATAAAAACAAATGACTAATGCTGTTTTCAAAGTTCTAATGGAAAATAATTCTTTGAAGTAGACTGAAGGCTCTCTAAGGGATAGCAAGAATAATTTACTGATAGAAGAAAATTAAACATTCTTTGTATATTTTCACAGTGGAGAAGTAGAAATGGTTCTGTGTTTCCATGGGAAGAGGAAAGCGACAAATGAAAGCCAGTGGAATCCCAGTTCAGTTTATAAAAAGGAAGTGGGGGGAGGCAAAGAGACAGCATTTTTAAACTTCTTTAAAAGAAGGTAAATTCGGTGTGGCATACATGGAAGAATCTAGCCACCCTTCCTCCGTTTTGGGCTAAAAACTATTTTTTGCAGTGTCGCTTTTAAAAAGGCTTAGGAAAGATTAGAAAACAGGAGATCACTAAGTATGAATGATAACACTATGGGAACACTAACTGTAGTATATAGCTAGTTTCATTTTCCATTAAAAGAAACAAGCCAAGCTGCTGGACAGGAAGATTGAGTTGACACATGTGGTTTAAAAAAAAAGTGCACATCTACCAATCTCCAAAGTAGAGCAAAAGTAAGCTTGTTTTTCCCAAAAAACACACTTCTTAAGCCAAACTACAGCCCCTCCTCTTTTTGGAACCATCAGAGAATATTCTCCCTACTTCTTTCTGATTGAGTTGTGGGGTTGGAGAGACTCCTTTCTCTCTATACTTCCTTCAGGTTGTACTGAGGTGAATCTTAACTCCCTGCCCCTTTACTTGGCAGCTTGAAGGGATGGCTCATCATTATTTCTCTTTTCCCCCTTCTGGCAGCTGTGAAGATGGAGTTGTCTTTCTCAATTTCCTATCTGCTGATTGCTCTTGTCTCTTTATTTGGTGGCTCTCACATTTCTGAGTGGATTCATTAGATACTTGGTTCCTCAGTCTTCCTCATGCATGGGTATCAGGCAGGTATGGCACTGCCTAATCTCAGACAGAGCACCACATATCAGAGGTGCTGAGGTAGAAGTGCCTACACTGACACAGCCATGTAAGCTATTCTAGTACTACACTGTGTCTGGGGGTGGCCCTAGGGCAAGCCAAAGGTCCTTGATAAAACTTAGATTCTAACCAGTGGTGCTGGAACAGTTTTTAGAGTGGGTGCTTAACTATATCCCCTTACTCTAGTTTGCAACCCTCATCACCACTTAAGCTGAGGCTGGCAGCTGGGACCCTGCATGTGAGGCTGATGGCCAGGACCCCGGGCTGGCAGGAAAGATTGTACATGTAGGGACAATGTCTGGGACCCTGGGTTTGGCAGCTGAGTGGGACTCCAGGCCAGCTGTGGGGCCCCTGGGTAGCCACAAGTCTGGCAGCTGAGACCTCAGTTGGCCAGGACCTTGGACAGCAGGAGTGCTAGGCTGGTAGTTGAGACGCTGGGCAGTAGGCGTGTGGGGATGGGATACCGGATGCCCAACCTGGGGGATGCTGCAGTACTTTCCCCACTCCTGCAGCTCTACTTCCTGCATCTACGGTGCTAATTGTAATTAAGCATAATGTACACATTTTTCATGGGCTGTGATCTGAAAATGATTCAAGTGGAACAAATAAATGAAGTCCCTCTGCTGAGGGAGTCAGTAGAGAGATAACCAATAGGGAGTTGTCTGTCTACAGTTTCTTTCATTTATTCAAAAAAAATGCAATATTCAGCAATCAGGTGGATTTCTGACACCAAGTCTATCAACCAGTGAGTGAATAAATAGAGTATTTTCATCTATGGAAGGTATAATTTCATGCCAGTGCTTGTTTGTTAAAGGGAAACTGCACTGTATTTGATCAGCCCTGCAATCTGAAAGATAAGATGTGCTTCTCTGCATTAATAAGTTGGGCAATGTATTTTGTATTTGAAAATAAAGTTATTAATGACAATTGTCATCAAAACATTATCAAGTATGATGCACAGATCATTCATCCAGAGAACTGTTTCTTATTCCTTAGTATTTTCAGACTGCTGCGTTAATCAAAAAATGTGTGGCTTTCTTTGTTTCAGATCTCCCTGCGTGAGAAAGAAGACTGCAGAATGAGAGTAAACTGTATAATACATGAGAGAGAGTCTTGCAGAAGATCACAACATATAGCATGGCTGATAATAAAATGAAAGGCATATTGCAATTTCTGACTGTGGCAAGAAATTGCCATTTCAGCCAACAATTATTTTCATTTGCAGCTACTTTATGTACAAACATATAAACCTTTATGCTTAGGAACATAAGCTAACAATTAACCACCTGATCATATTGCATGCTACAATAATCCTGTATAAACTTGTCATTTGCAACATTTGGTTCTGGTTGCACAAGATAGTGGAATACTTTACCCAATCAATTTGCTCTTACTCCTCTCATGTGCTAATCTTATTTTCTACGTGTGTGTGTTTTTAAACTGTATCCAGGAAGAAAATGGCAGGAAAAGCCATTTCGGATTAGGTAGTTAAGATGAGGAAAATGGTCACTACATACTATGCACACTTATCTTCTCACACAAACCTCTGCCAAGGACACATAAACCTGATATTTTTTTAAGAAGTAAAAATGACAACCATTCTTCTAAGAACCCTGACGTGACTTATTATTTTTGTTTCACGATGACCAAACATGCACAGAGTGGTTCAGGTAACAAGACAAGGTCCGTGCTCTGAAAACCTAGCAATCACATCTTGTCATACTTGTCTGTCTTTTAGTTTGTCAGGACAGGGAATGTTGGTGGCTCATAGCAGACTGAGTGCACTTTCAGTGCTCACCAAATGAAGATGAGCTCAGAGGCAAATTTAAATTGACCACACTTACCACCACACAAAACACTGTCCACAGTCACATTTATGCACACCTGATAGATCCATTTGTCCTAGAAACTTTCCTCTCACAAATATGTGATGCAAACAAACCCTAATATTATCTACCAACCAGATGTAACAAAATGCAAAGAAGGAATCTTCGAAGATCACTGAGAGTCCAGACTGTGCACTGTGTATGATAGCGACATGTTAGAAATGCCTTTTCTATCATGCTTAAAGAATTTGAAAGTGCTGGGGGAAGATGCTAAATTCAGCTCCTGGATAGAAAAATTGTTTTACACCAACCTAAAAAGGTCCCTCTAGCAGCCTCAGGAGTAGCCCTGACAGATTCCAGAGAGCTATTTGAAACTGCACAGCACAAAACAATATACCTGCAAGACCAATCCCTTGTTGGGTGGCCCATTTTAATTTGCCATAGCTGCACATTTTGTCATTCACTTAAAATTACCCCTCTGTCCTCAACAGTGGCTGTTGGGAAGTTTCACCCTTCGGAATTGTCTAACTCTGAGAGATTTTAACCTTCTAGTGCCCTCTGCTTTTCAAGGTGTTCTTTTTTAGGCTGATAGATGGTGCTATGGTGGGGCTAGGATGGCTTACCTGAATGGAGATGATATTGCTCTATTTCACTCATTGCTGGTGTGCCTTCTCATCTTGCCTACTGTTGTTGCTAATGCTGGCCCCGGGATTATCTTGGAAGCAGCAGCGGGTGGTTGGCTAAGACCAAAAAATGCTATTTTCTGGGTTCAGAAGCTGATTGATTGGCTAGCAGCAAGGGCAGGAGGCTCTTTGCTCTCCAGAAAACTGAGTAAGCTCTTCGATTTTGTTTTGGTGGTGGGAAGAAGGGGAGACAGCGAAGAACATATAATGCCACCCTAATCTCTTACTCATAGCCATCTGTTTATAAATGCATGCAACAGAACCTTGAATTTACAGGCACCAGTCTTACAAATGACCAATTATACTAACCATTTTTCCCAATAGAAAAAATAATCACATAACAAAAGTGAAGTCAATGAAGAACAACTTGACAGCTCTTCATATACTTATGCTTTCAGTGCACTGGACATTGCATGACAGTTATTGAAAGGACAAAAAGGAAGCAATGCAGTGCACCGTACTGAAACTTGTGCACCTTACCTACTGTAACTGAGAGTCAGTTTTATGAACTATTTGCTTTTTATGAATTCTTCAGTCCCCAATTAGTTTGTAAAACCAGGGTTACACTATACCTGGTACTCTAGAATATAGACTAATTGTTACTTTGTGCCTGGGAATGTTATTTGTACTTTATTTCAGACTCCACAGATGAAATCCTGGCTTGGTTAAAGTTAATGGAGGTTTTGATATTGACAGGAAGGCAGAATTTCATACCATATGTAGTTTTTTCTCTGCAAATTTCTATTCCTTATTCACAGAAGAAAGTCCCTTAAAGAGCTGACAGAAGATTCTGTGAATTTCTGTGTACTCTCATGCATCACGGTTCTGTAAATTAAATTACCATGCAGAGAGAATCGAATAGATGACTAAAGAAAAGGAGTTGGTTTTGAAAATATTGTAATCCTTAATCAGATTATTAGCAAATCCATACTCTTTCAAATGATTGTTATTTATTTGTATTGCTGCAGTGCCCAGAAGCTCTAATCATGACCCACTGTGCTACGTACTTGTAGAGTTTCTTGTAGACAAATTCTGTTACCGTACTCATTTCAGAGTTCATCTTAAGATGCCTGTAGCATATCTGGGTAATTTAATCTCCATTTTTGTTCTTATTTATGATTGGTTTGAGTGTTTATTTCGCATCTCTTTGATTTCCTCGGGTTCGTGAAATCCTACCCTAATCTTCTATACAGCTCCATCTTAATCTGAGGTACTTATGATTTTTTATTTGCTTTATTAACCCTGAAGTCAAAATAAGACTCATTTGCTCAGAGTAGATGCTAAAAAATTTCTAAGACATATTTTCACATTTCATGATGTAAGAACATTCAGCTGCAACTCAAAATGTAAAAAGCAAATATTTTAAGCAAATGTTTAGTCTACTTACTAAATTAGTATATATGTGGCATAGAGGCTGGGTCTCTCCTATTTCTTTTCAGGTACAGATATTTCATAACCTACCTTCTCCAGACAGACTTTCCTGGTTGGCTCCCTTAATGGACTCTTCTTTCTTCCTTTCAGCTTCGCTCTTCTGATCACTTGGTTGCAGAAAGTTGGATGGTGTGCTATAAGCTGCCAGTGTGACAACCTGCTCAGTTGGGACTTCAAATTGTCTTATGCTTAAATCATTGCTGGCGGACTCATCTGCTGGAGGAGGTAAATCAGAGTCCTCTGATTTTAAAGGGCCGTTGGTGCTATCCTGAGTACTGAAAGGCACAGTAGAGGTTTGGGTGTCAATAATAATGTTCATGTCTTCAATGTCCTTCAACGAGTCCAAATCGTGTTCTGTAACAGTTTTGTCTTTAGACCAGTCGCTTGAGGATTTGGAAGGAAATGCAGGATTAGATGAAATGAAATGATCAGGGACACTGACATTTCCACTTAGCACAGGGCTTCCAGTGATATAGTCACTAATCAAACTGTCTCCTGTCTGCTCCACCAATGCTGGACTAGGATAGCCTAGTGGGAGTTCAGCACTCAAGCCATCATCCTGAAAATCAAATGTAGAGATCACTTACAGGATGTAGTTTACATTACATCAGAGTCTGATAAAAATGTAGCCACAACGTCTTGTAATACTTGGCTCCATTGTGTAGTTGTAAAATACAGACCAATGCTTGGTATATGTGAATGTGATCCTAAATAAAATATATAACAATCCATTGTTTTAAAATCAATTGGGATTTTATTACGATGTGAGTTTTGTTCTATCTCACTCACTGAAATGTACAGTTTAGATTATGGTTCACCAAATACGGTCACCTGTAATTCACATAAACGCTGTCAGAGGAAACTGGACAATGTCTTCCAGATGTAAATACTCCCATCAATTACTTTTTGCTTTTCTAAAACACCACACTACTGGCTGCATTTATCAGAAGGAATCTACTTATTTTTAGCATCAGTTTGTGTGTGTGCATGTGAGAGGGAGCAGATTTTAAAATATCTAAGTTAGTTTCCCTTTGGCCATGTCTACTCTGGGAAACTATTTCAAAATTACTAAATTCGACTTAAGAACTCCCAATTTAACAAATTCAAGTGTGTCCTCACTATGGGAAAGCATCAAAATTAGTCTGAGGCAGGCTCCATTAATGTGAATGCTCTACCTTGGACTTAGGCCCCAGAAGGCACTCTGGGGAGCTGCAGGAGGCCTCCCGGAGGCCAATAAGTTCGAATTAGCAGAGCATCCTCACTACTGTTATTTTGGAATTGGTGTTACTCCTCATGAAAAGCAGGAGTACAGAATTTGAATTCCATGGCCTGTTATTTCCAAATAGTGGGCTTTCTACTGTGGATGGAGTGTTTATAAATTCAAATGGGGGGTGGGGGCTATTTTGGAATAAGGTGCTAGTGCAGACCAGGGCTTTGAGAGATAAAGAAGCAGAATTAGCTTACCGAGTCAGTGCCTCCTGGAGCAATAGTGACCCCTGATTTAATGTCATTGGCTGAGTCACTAGATTGTATAATAGCTTCTGCAAAATGAAATAAAAATGGCAAAATATGTTTTTCATTGAAACTGCATATTGAAAATAAAGGCACACTGAATCCTGATCAAAGCGTACAACCTCTCTAATAGAGATAAAAACTGACACACAATTATTCACCTGAAAGACTTTTAAAAATCAGTGCTAATGAGAATGAGCGGTACATTTTATTTTATATTACAACTGGAAGTAAAGCAGAAATTTATTTTCAGCACTCTGTTATGCCTTATATAGTCAGTAGGAATGAGATAATTCTGTAGAAAATTGAATCATCCCAACTGGCTAAAACTAGTTTAAGTAGAAACTATTCAATGAATCCACATAAGCCATGCTGACTTGTGTAATTAATTAGTGCAGTTTTATCCTATGTCCACACCATCTAATGCTTTCTTGGGTTTCTGCTCCACAGTTTCTGGTGGAGATATTGGTTGAAATATTTCAAATATTTCACTAAAAAGGGGGTGTTTTTAGTTGTTGAAAGGTCATATTTTAAAAAAAATGTAAAAAGTTGTCGACATAAAATTTTTCCATTTTCAATTATCCATGACACTTTTAATGGCTATTTTAAGCTGTTTTAAAATCAATAGGAATTTTTTATTTACCAAAAGCATTGTTTTCAGTAATGAAATGCTGCTGCTGCTGCTGTTATTCTACAAAAACACTTGCAACTAAAAATTATGTTGGTAAATATTTTAATAATAATTGTAAAACATCAATAATATATTGAAAGATTGATCCATTTGAACCCCATAAAGGGGAAAAAATGTTACACTTTTACATTTTTTGTTACATCAGTGTCCTGGTTTTCAACAAGCTCTAGGCCCCAGAGCCAGTGAAATCTGGGAAAATCTGAAATGTACCTATGCACTGCAACAGTGTGAAAATCATTTGAACCTTTTGTGCAATTAAGCCAGCCAGGAAACTGTCTTTACTAGGAAGTCAGACAGTATGCTGAAAACTCATATTTTTCCTTATTTCACAGAATCTGTCAAAATTTCCTACTTCTACCAAAAGGAAAAAAAATATACATCCTCCATCTGTACTTAAACAGAAGTGTGTTTAAAAATAAATAATGGAAACTGTCTTGATTGACTGTTTTGTTTTAGCACACTTCACTTCTGAACCCCTTCTGAAGCCCTGCTGTCCACATTCCAACAGGTTAATTATACCAAATGGAATTAAGCTGAAAGGGAAAAAGAAAAATAATGTTATTTAAACCTCATAAATTACCAGGATTAGCTCCAGAAGAGGGCTCATGACTGTGAATCCCAAGTGAAGATGCATCTGACGAAGTGGGTCTTTGCCCACGAAAGCTTATGCTCCTACACTTCAGTTAGTCTATAAGGTGCCACAGGACTCCTCGTCGCTTTTGCAGATTCAGACTAACACGGCTACCCCTCTGATACATAAATTAGCAAGACAGAGTATTCAGAGCCATGCCCTTAGCAGCCTACGTACTAACCGTCAGTAAACTGAAGTGTTCCAAGGTCCATTATCAAGGACTGGTCTTCCTGTAGTGCCATGGCAACCAACTGCTGAAGTTCTGGTACTGAGAGTTTAATTCCTGGTATCCCCTCCCCTTCCTTTGTACTATGAGGGCTTTTTTCATTTTCAACTTTATTGGAGCCAATAGTTGAGAGATCGTCCTCAGGATCTTTCACTTCTGAGCTGTCTCTCTCAAAATTCACAACATACCGTACTTCAGTGTTGCTTGACCTGCAGTGCAAGAATGGAATGATAGCTACAACGCAATCCATTACATGGCCAAAGGGATTTTTTTTTCAAAAGGATCCCTATTATCCTCAATATGCCAACATAGTTCTATAAAAGTAATGTAATTATACTTCTAACATAATCATAATTATCTACCTAATTGAACTGTTACCACCAAAAGATTTTTTCCATCACTGAGATTTAAAAAAAAAATCCCTTGCACAGAAATACTAGATTTATTAACAGAAAAAATCCATTGTCAAAAGAAAATTTATGAAGTGGCAGAAATAATCCAATTAAAGCTTAATTCGTGAACTGTATGACTTGTGTGGGATCAGTAATTGAACACAAACCCTTCCGCTCCTAGTTCACTAGTTCAAATACAAATCTCTGCTGGCAGTGATCAAACATCATAACCATCTGTTGAATACAATAGCCTATGTGAAATAAATTGATTTCATTTCAACTTAGTGGCAAGGTTCCCACATTATCAAAACTCCTATCCCAGTAGGTAATATGCTAGCTGTCTTAGAAGATCTGCTAAGGCTGTGTTTATCAAACTGTGGGTCCTGACCCCCCGGGGGTTGCAAGCAACTTAGAGGGGGGTCGCGGTATCACAAAGTTTGAGAACCCCTGCCCTAAGGGCTTAATATACATGGAATGCATAAAGGCTTTTCAGAATTTGAGTTAGTTCTTCCAGGTCATGGATGAGTCATGTACATCAGGCTAATAATGCTGCAATGGATGTTCCTGTTCATAGAATCATAGAACACTAGAACTGGAAGGGTCCTCGAGAGATCACCAAATTCAGTCCCCAGCCCTCACAGCAGGAACAAGCACTGCCTAGACTATCTGTGATAGATGTGTATCTAAGCTGCTCGTAAATATCTCCAGAGATGGAGATTCCACAACCTTCCTAGGCAACTTATTCCAGTGTTTAACCACCCTAACGGTTAGGAAGTTTTTCATAATGTCAAACCTAAACCTCCCTTGCTGCAGTTTAAGCCCATTGCTTCTTGTCCTATCCTCAGAGGCCAAGGAGTTTTTTTTCCTCCTTCTTGTAACACCCTTTTAGATCATTGAAAACCACTGTCATGTCCCCTCTGTCTTCTCTTTTCCAAACTAAACAAGCCCAATTATTTCAGTCGTCTCTCATAGTTCATGTTTTCTAGACCCTTTAATCATTTTTGTTGCTCTTCTCTGAACTTTCTCCAATTTCTCCTCATCTTTCTTGAAATGTGGTACCCAGAACTAGACACAATACTCCAATTGAGGCCTAATGAGTGCAGTGTAGAGCAGAAGAATGACTTCTCATGTCTTGCTTACAAAATTCCTATTAAGCAGCTCAGAATCATGTTTGCTTTTTTTTTTGCCACTGTGTCACACAGTTGACTTATATTTAGCTTGTGGTCCACACTGACCCGTAGATTCCTTTCCGCAGTACTCCTTCCTAGACAGTCACTTCCCATTATGTATATATGAAATGGATTGTTCCTTCCTAAGTGGAGTACTTTGCATTTGTTCATATTAAACTTCATCCTATTTACCTCAGACCATTTCTCTAATTTATCCAGATCATTTTGAATTTTGGCCCTATCCTCCAAAGCACTTGCAACCCTTCCGAGTTTGGTGTCGGCCACAAACTTAATAAGCATACTCTCTATGCCATCATCTAAATAATTGATGAAGTTATTGAACAGAACTGGTCCCAAAACAGTCCCTTGCAGACCTCCACTTTTTTTGCCCTTCTAGCATGACTGTGAACTGTTAACGACTCTGGTTATCCAGCCAGTTATGCACCCACCTTTTAGTAGCCCCATCTAAGTTGTATTTGCCTACTTTATTGATAAGGATATAATGTGAGACTGTATCAAATGCCTTACTAAAGTCTAGGTATACCATGTCCATTGCTTCTCCCTTATCCACAAGATTTGTTATCCTATCTAAGAAAGCTATCAGTTTGGATTGACATGATAGTTAGTTTGAATAGCTAAACAGAAAATGTGATCTGCAGGAGTGTTGAATTGTTACTTTTCATATTCAGTAAATAAACATTTTTTAAAAAATATAACAAACATTAATTTTTAAATCCAAAACTGTGAAACAGTTTTCCATAATGATGAATAAGTGAAGGTAGAGGACTTGGTTTCTTATTTGGGATGTGCTATGAATTTTCATTCATACTGCATAGCAAACATCCATTAAAAGAAGTAGGTAATTTTTGTAGTAAATCACATGTAAATAATAAATCTTATAATCCAGTAGCATTTTTAGGTGGTAAGAAACTATTCTACAGATGTTACCACGTAAACATGAGAGCAAGGTTGCTTCTTATCAAATCATTCTCAGAGATATAGCTGATCTTTTTGCTTCACTTCTGTCTCAACTGGGAACTGAAGTAGCAAATTAGATGCAATGTACTTACTGAAGAGAATGTGTATGTGAAAACAGAAACTAGCAAGCAGCTGTCATGCCAAATATACTCCTTTAAACATAATTTAAAGTATGACATTTTCTACTTAAACCTTATGTTGGATAGAGGTATCTTTAGGTGTTCAAATCAATGTTATTTTGCTTATCTAGTAGAGTGATTTAGGTTAAAAAAGTTTTCTCCATATTCACAGATAGGTTATTACAATTTGATTAAATGAGCCTTTCAAATGGAAATGAAAGCCAGGCTGTTTGTTTACCACAGATTCTGTGTCTGAATGAAAAACAAATTAATTCACTTTGCCACATTAATAAATAGTTTTCTCAAATGGTTCACTACATTTATTTTTTAAAAAATGTATCTGAATTACCCATCTTTATCCATATTCCGTCTTCATTTCATCACACAAGATAGGTCACGATAATGCAAAAGAGAAGGAAAAAGAGAAAGAAAAGATCCATGTAAACTGTTAAGCCAGGCACTCATATGTTATTTATCTCAGGACAATTAATATTTTGCCTATCCTTTGACATCTTTGTCAGTCTACTGTCTATCCTTACACACTTTCCCTTCCAAGTGATGGGCAGCTTTCTGCTCTGTCTCTGTGTGTGAGCAGGAATTTTACTGTACTCTATTGCTCAAAGATCTGCACTCACAGTTCCACTACAAATGACACAATTTGTGGTGATGTTGGTCCTAATATGCATCTCCCTAGTGGAGTAAAAAGCTGGGACTGAGACCATCTGTCTACTAAGCCTCAGAAGTAAGCTGACCCATTAATTACCTACCATGGATTCCAGAGGACATGTTTTATGTTGACATCCATAATTTAATCTCTCTCTCTCTCCACACACACCCTATGTCCAACAAAGCAGCGCACACACACACACACACCCTATGTCCAACAAAGCAGCAACCCCTGCTACAGACTCCACAAAACAGTTTTTTGTCAATCAAGGAAGATTGTGCTGTGAAACTCTGGCAGAGCACATCAGAACTAATCCTTAATTTTCAGGAGATAACATGATTATGGGGTGGTCCAATGTACTTCTTTTACATCTAGACTAGCCCCTACTATCTGAAAATAAGATCCCAGGAGAGGAACTGATCTCTTGGAGACATTCCTTAGAGATGTCACTAAGGGCTTATCTTCACTGTGGGCTAAATCGGAGCTGCTGTGATCAGCACAGGAGGCATCATGTAGTAGGTCTAGTGTAGTGTGAGACACCAAGACTAGCTGGCTGCCACACATTGATAGAGGGAAGACACCTAAGGGAAGGGCTTGGGTGAACTGTTTTCTCTTCCCTGAGTAAAAAAGAAAGCCTAAACTTAATTGCAGCATAATCAGGCAGGCTTGCTAAAAGATAAAAGATGTTTAGACACCTGCAGCCAATTAAGGCCTGTGGTGCTGCTTTAAAAGCTCCCCTTTTCCCCCACCCCGGCAAAGAAGTGGGGAGAAAAAGAGTGAAGGACAGGAAGAGGCAGTGCTATGTGGGTGTGAGTTGAAGACTGATGAGCAGGTACCAAAGGAAAGGTATTGGGAGGGATAGTTTGGGTAAGTGGCTGAGGGAAAGCTTCCAGATTGAGAGTGGCAGTAACCCTGCCTGTTGCCACTGCTTTAGTGTCCCTGTGCTGAAACCTGGAGTAGTGGGCCTTGAGAAGGGAGATCAGGACTCCAGCAGGGATTTTACCCCAAACTTATGATCTAGCCTGTGATGAGTGTGGCTCAGTAGGCTATAGCTCCTGCCTCTAGTAAAGAGAAAGAGGCTGTGTGGAGGGCCACAGTGAGCCTTTGAGGCTAACACTATCCACCAATAGTGCAAGACCTACAGGGAATAGTCGGAGCTTTGCCACAGTATACATTGTACATTGATCTAAGCTATTTGATGTAAGTTACATATTTTACATAGTTTAACTAATGTAACTTAGATCAATTTCCCTTTTTAGTGTAGACCTGCCCCAGTGTAAGATGCTGATGCTTAGTGTCTGTCAGATTTGATCTTTATAGGCAGGGTAGAGCATAACAGCTTAGTGGAATGCTCTTCCATGGGAAATGATAAGCTAAAAATATGCTTTCTGTTTTAAAAAATGTAAATCAAATATTGACATGTGCTCACTAGCTGGAAAGACTGTGAGATGTGCTGCAGAACAATCTGGGGAAGGTCTAGTTTTCGTTGTAGGGAACAGTGTTTGAATGAACACAACCTCTCCCCTTTCCTAAAGTATGTTGGCTTCCTCTGTCTGGGACTTTGTATATTCTGCAGGACCAATTAGATAAACAAGATTTGACCTGTCAAAAATAGCAAAACATCTTACCAATCAGGAATAGTGTACATACTCTATGTACTTACAGTAACTTCATTTGCACAGAAAAAATAATTAATACATAAATAGTGAGCAGTTTTTCAAACTTGCATGATAGAAATTAAAATGATCCGGAAATTTCATGATAGGATCAGGCCTTGTTGGAATGTAGTTAGTGTAAAATTTATATAACTTCTTTAACTCTATTGCTATGGATTCTCTCTGGAGCTTCTTTGCTGCAGAAAAAACTTGGGGTCTCTAGACATTCCAAAGTTCTGTGGGAATGCCAGCAAGGAATACTGGCACTGCAGAGGTAGTATGCCTAGTAAAATGAAAGGACTGGCTCTTACCACAGTGATTTCTTATTCTACGGGCAGACAAATTCAGTTGTGTCTTACATGGCAGTAATTTAAATAACATGCTGACTTTTTACTGGTGACCACTGTCTCTGAAGTAGCTGAGAGGTTTGAAGCAATTAAATCTCTTTGGGTATGTCTAGACTACATCCCTCTGTCGTCAGAGGGATGTAAATTAGACATACCAAAATTGCAAATGAAGCAGGAATTTAAATATCCCGCGCTTCATTAGAATAAAAATGGCCAACGCTTTTTGCCGACGCGGCAATTTTCCAGCAGAAAGCGGCAGTCTAGGCGGGCATCGGTCGACAAGGAAAGACTTTTCCAACCGATCCCTTATGCCTCGTGCAATGAGGTTTACAGGCAGGCCCTTATGTCGGATCTGCAGTTACGAATGGGGTTTGCTCCAGCTCCCGGGATGCTGACCAGCAGTGGCTGAATCAGGATGCCTGGGGCAGAGCAGCTGGGGTGCTGCCGGGTTGGTCCAGTAGCGCCCAGAGCGGCGCTACGGGACCAGCCGGCAGCGCCCCAGCTGCTGTACCACAGGCGTCCGGAGCAAAGCCGCGGAGCATGGGGGCAGCGGGACAGCCCAGACGCGCCGTGGCTATCCTGCTGCCCTCGGGCTCCGCGGCTTTGCTTTGCTCTGCTCCCCGTCCCCCAGGTCTGCAGACCAGGGGGAGAGGGAGCAGAATAGAGCAGAGCGGCGGAACGCGCGGCCAGCTGACAGCCCAGACGC